TTAACATTTTATAAATATTAACGTTATGATTTTCTGTAAAGCTGCTTTGAAACAATATGTATTTTGAAAAGCGCTATATAAATAATGTTGACTTGAAATCAAATTTCCACTCAATAATTATTGTTATTATTGAAGAAAGTAGTTATTGAAACTTCGGGACTCACAAAATTAATCACTTTATTTATTATTTGTAGATTATGATTTATTAGTATTTCATCACAACAGTCTGTTCTGAGCATTAAAGTGCTAAACGTTGTAATTGATCCGTGACCGTATTCGTCCAGTGTTGCAGTTATTAACAACAGCTACGAGTATTAAATAGCATTTAAATAAAGCAGAAATAATATAAATGATAAATATTAGACTTACTTAAAGTTAAGTTTATGTACTAAACCTACTAAAATTAAGTAAAAAATGAATTAAAGCTAAATAAAAATATAAAAAAACTAATAAAAGGACATAATATAATTGCTTTCAAAAATTAAAATAAAACTGAAAATATAAAAATAAAAGCTTTAACTCAAATTAAAATAAAAACAGAGAGAGAAAATATAAAAATATTAATGAATATTATAGTATATAAATAACAAGTTAATAGTGTGTTTGCAGCACATAGAGTCGTGAACATCAGACCAAAATCTTTCTCTTCTTTCTAATAGACACACATCACTGACACTGCTTTGCTCTGTTTGTCTGCGTGTCTATATTTCTGCGCTTCAGTGTGGATATCATCCGGTTTCTATTTCTGCCACTCACTTAAAGCCTATTTAAATCCATGTGTACGAGGTCTGTCTCTCTCAGTAATTTAAGCTCCGCTGCGTCCCTCTCTCGTCTCATTCGGGACTTTCCCCGCTCGAGGACAGACGTCTGTCAGGATCCAGCAGGATCTTGTCCGTGTGGAATACTATCTTTCGTCCGTCTGGCTCTCTCTCACGTGTCGCTCTGTGATCGGATGCACCTGTACTTCTCTGATTGTGTGTCTGAGTACTGAGTGTGTTTGTGCTCAAAAACATTTTTATGCTTGTGTACTCATATTTTCGAACATGTCTCAGTCCTGACCGAGAGAGATGGAGTTGTGCTTTTTCTGATTCGCTGTTTGTATCGGATCGTCTGAACAATGGCACAGAGACACATGGATGGTGTAGGTAGGACAGACTGCGTGTTAAAACTGCTCTCTGTGTGTTTGGAGGTTCATCTTAGAGATCAGTGAGTGTGTGTGTGTGTGTGTGTGTGTGATTGTGTGTGTGTGTGTGTGTGTGTGTGTGTGTGTGTAAAGATGAAGGTAGTGCCGTGTGTGTGTGTGAGTGTGTGTGAGTGTGTGTGTGTGTGTGCGTGTGTGTGTGAGTGTGTGTGTGTGACTGTGTGTGTGTGTGAGAGAGAGAGTGTGTGTGTGCGTGGGTGAGTGTGTGTGACTGTGTGTATGTGAGTGTATGTGAGTGTGTGTGTGTGTGTATGTGTGTGTGTGTGTGTGTGTGTGTGTGTGTGTGTGTGTGTGTGTGTGTGTGTGTGAGTGTGTGAGACAACATTTGTCATTTTCCTTTAATTTAAGTGGAAGTACAAAAATAACTGAAATATCTAAATAAACTAAAACTTATATAGACTTTATTAAATGATGACAAAAACACAAGATTATTAAAGTATGTTTGACGAGATAATACTATTTCAGTTTTTCTACTTCAAAATTTCAAGTTAATTCAATGTGCAATTCAACTTGCTGTTTCCTTGTAATTATTTGTGAAATTCACTAGCAATTTATAAGTAAAGATTTGCACTAGTTTTTTCCCAGTATAGTTGCTTTAGCAAACTCTGAGCTCCCGCTGTATTCTAGGAGAGAACGTCCATTTATTCAGTTTAATCTCTAATGCAATTACTTCTCATCCTTCAGAATTGCGTCACATTACAGCGGTGAATCAGGTTGTGAATGTTCTGTGATGTTCTCTCTAGATAACCAGTTCAGGATGTCGATTCTGGAGCGTTTGGAGCAGATGGAGCGGCGAATGGCAGAAATGTCAAATAACAGTCAGCAGAATCACATGATTCACTATCATCAGCATCTGTCGAGGAACCAGAGCTCCGCTCCGCGCTTGACTCCTGAGAACCAGGTACAAACACACACCAGAGTCTCGGCAAAGAAAGCCACGATCAGTTCTCAGAATAATACAGTGATGAACTCGAGTTTCTGTGTTCTTCCTCAGTGCTTTTGTCTTGTTTTACAAGTATCTAAGCATTCTTATTTTATTATTGTTAACTAAAACTACAACTATAAAAAAATTAATTACTTAAAAATATATGTATACAATAATATCTGTGACCCTGGAGCACAAAAGCAGTGTTAAGTCGCTGGGGTATATTTGTAGCAATAGCCAACAATACATTGTATGGGTCAAAATTATAGATTTTTCTTTTATGCCAAAAATCATTAGGATATTAAGTAAAGATCATGTTCCATGAAGATATTTTGTAAATTTCCTACCGTAAATATATCAAAACTTAATTTTTGATTAGTAATATGCATTGCTAAGAACCTCATTTGGACAACTTTAAAGATGATTTTCTCAATTTTTCTCGATTTTTTTGCACCCTCAGATTCCAGATTTTCAAATAGTTGTATCTCAGCCAAATATTGTCCGATCCTAACAAACCATACATCAATGAGAGATTATTTATTCAGCTTTTTCAGTTTCGAAAAATGGACCCTTATGACTGATTTTGTGGTCCACGGTCACATATTAAAAAAACGTACATATACCGCCTAGTTGTACTCATTCCCGCAGGTTTTGCTGAAGTGTTTAGTTGATAATATTGGTTAAATAAATTATGATATTCAGTGAAGTGATGATATGAGCATTAATAGTCATTCATTTTAGTTAACATTTGTGACCCTGGAGCACAAAACCAGTCATAAGGGTCAATTTTGTGAAATTGAGATTTATGCATTATCTGAAAGCTGAATAAATAAGCTTTCCATTGATGTATGGAAATGTACAAAATATCTTCATGGAACATGATCTTTACTTAATATCCTAATGATTTTTGGCATAAAATAAAAATGTATAATTTTGACCCATACAATGTATTGTTGGCTATTGCTACAAATATACCCCAGCGACTTAACACTGCTTTTGTGCTGCAGGGACACAAATGCTATAATAAATTTGAACAGATTTTTATTCTTATTTTACATGTGTACTTGTAAAATAATGGAACATTAAGTCATGAATATTTTCTCAAAAGTCATGGAAATTTATTGGTAAAAATGTGTAAGAGCCCTGTTTAGAAAAACTTATAATAAAACTTATTTTATTTCAGCTAGTTGCCAAGTGTAAGTACTAAAATAACTAAAACTAAATAAACTAAAACTAAAAAAAAAAAAACTATATGGACATATTTAATAGCTAAAACTTGAAAATTAAAATGAAAACAGAAATATAAAAAATAATATCGAATTCAAAATATCAACAAAAACTTGAACAAATAACATGACTAAATATAAATCAGTGGGGTCAGAAAAAAGAAACTTGTTTGCCACAAAGAATATCGGCCGATATATCGATTTTGGCCCTTTTTTACGCCCTAATATCGGTATCCGTATCGGCCCCAAAAACCCATATCGGTCGGGCTCTAGTATTTACATTTATGCCATTTGGTAGATGCTTTTATCCAAAGCAACTTGAATTGTATTCAAGATACGGATTTTATTAGTTCACATATTCCCTGGGAATCAAACCCATGACCTTGGGATTACCAGCACATGAGAAACAGTCGGCTTGAGCTGATTAATGCAGGAATTATTAAAAAACATCATTAGATGCACACAGACACTTCCCAGTCTCGTCCATTTAACACTCAGTATTTATTTACTGACGATAATGAAATTAAGCATTTGGAAAATTTGGATTATTTGTAATAGGCTTTTTATTTGGACATAAATTCTGCTGATAGAATTTGATTGATTTTAGAGTTTGATTCACTGCCCGTTTGAATCGACTCAATGAATTTAAACAAAAAATATGTTTGCATCATCACTCAAATATGTATTCAAATGTTTTAGTAAAATATCTGTAGGTAAATATTGCAGTGTAGATATAAATAAATAAAAAGTGTAATTCTTTAGTGTGGAAACTTGGTGATTATTTCAACTAGGGGTGGAAAATTTCTGGTAAATTTCCGGAAACTTCCCCAAAATTCCTGGAATATTCAAAAAAAAATCCTCGAAAGTTTCCAACATTTCTGGAATATTTCCGACATTTACTGGAAATTTTCCACCTTTTTGCAACCCTAATTTCAACTACATTTTTTACAGTATTTCTTCCGTTTAAACTTTTTGAATCTTCTCGAATACAACAAATGTTTTACGCTTTCTCTGATTGATTTTCCACCCTGCTCTTGACTTTATCTACTTGCCAGAACATTCTCCAGAAGGTCATGTCAACACCTTTTGTAAGCTTGTGGCAGAGTTATTATAGTTAACTAAAATTAAAACCATAAAAAGGTGTTACTTGAGATAAATAAATGTTTAAAATTATAAAATAAATATATGATATTTTATATATACACTGCCGCTCAAAAGCTTGGGATCAGTAAGACTTGTAATGTTTTTTAAAGAAGTCTCTTCTGCTCATCAAGGCTGTATTTATTTGATCAAAAATACAGAAAAAACAGTAATCTTGCAAAATGTTATTACAATATAAAATAATGATTACAAAAACACAACAAAATTATTCGAACTTAAATAAAATGAAAGCTACTTTGGAATATTAATAAGAACTGTAATCGTATCTGAATGATACTGTCGTAATGCTGCAGTGGAGAGAGTGATAGAGCGCTGGAGGATGTGCAGTGTGTTGATGAGCGCTGGATTTATGAACGCGTGTTATCAGGGTTAGCGGCGGAATGTCAACTTTGTCAGTGACATCACTTCAGTATGCGTGTATTAATAGCGCGTTTTCCATGTTGGTGCACCCCACACACCACAACACACACGCACAACACACCACAAC